CGCACATTCATCTAACCGTTCTCTGGGACATTACCCTGTTCTAAGTGTGAGAAATTCTAGTCAATCCATATTCCTTCTACTAGCCCAAGGTTTGCTCATATGAATGTCAGTCTTTTCGGTTGGTTGGTTGATGAGGCTCGTTAGAACATGCTCTACTCCTTTCTCTCCCATCCTGTTTCACATGCTCTGAATGTGTGTATGTGTGTGCAGCGTTCAAGTAGCATGGGGAGGCACGACTGAGAGCAGTATCACCGTAATGGTGATGATTTCACTACCCATGATATCTTGCAATGTTCGATATTTTCGCACTGCAAGTGTGTGTGTGTGTGTGTGTTGAACTACGTGATAGCTGTCGATCAACAAATTAATTCACAAAGTAATGAGTGGGTGGTCCCCGGAATCACCTCGATTAATCATGTGCCGAATTGTATCAATATTGTATCAACATCTCTTGATATTCTTGGTGGTGGTTTGCGACCGAGGATCTTCAACTTCGCATGAATTTTGGTGGTAATGTCTTTGTCACCAGCGTGCTTTGGGTCTTGGGGTCCGAGGTCCAAACGTTGCCATCGTTGCCATTCAAATTTGGAGGTTCGTTGTTGTTGTTGTTGTTGTTCGACTCCGTCCCACGACTGTTCTTACATGGTTTGTTCGCATGAATGAGTGGACGGAGATCCCGTTATTATGGTACTTGTTCCCATCCTTATGCTGTTCGTCACACAAGGATGTGTAATGAATCAATTCCCTACGGGTAGTACGAAGTTATACGCGTTGCTGGAACGCTGACCAGGGGTGTGTATGAATTCCTCTATTGGTCTGATCTTCCACATGGTCAGTCGGATAACTGGGACAGGAAGGTGGATGTGAATTGCGTTATGGGAACGCGAGAGATCAACCAATACCTACGCTCGCACGCATACTCGGACGCACACCTCCGTCAAATTGGTCAATCAGTCGGTTGGTGGTTAATCCTGGTGCTGTCCGCTGCCACCACTGGTCATCTACTTTGTGTCTCGAACACGGTTTCACTGCGTATCCTCAGTGTGTGGTTTGTGTACGTGTGTGTGTGTGATCCGACCGGTGCCGTTGACCATTGGTCAGTGGTTTATGTTCAGAAGACCCCTTGTCCAAATCCGTGACCAGTGTGCGCCCGAGCGTCAGAGCGAGAGAGGGAGAGAGAGAGAGAAGGGAATGACTGATGGCGTTCGCACAGGTACGATAGACACCAGAGTGGATGGATAAGGTGTGTATGTGTATTGTATGTGTGTGTCTATGTATGCACGGTGTGTGGAATGTCCAGGTGACCAGTACACATCGCATTGATATCACATTGGTCAATAAACGCATTCTGTCATGATCAAAACTGGTCAAATCAATGGACGGGGTGTTTTCGGTGAATTGAAATCACAACTCACGGGTAAAATGCGTTCAGCCATGCTCTGGACAAATGACACGGATCGTATAAACCCTTCAATCGGTTGGTTCAGTACGATTATTACTATCACCCAACAGTCCACATTGGTTCAATCGAGTTAGATTCTCCACTACTTCCTTATAACAAGTAGTCCGGTTCAGAATAAATGCACGCGGTTAGCGCTGATATGAGTGATGCTCATAACAAGCTTGCAAAGATAGGTTGTGCTTTACCGTATACGAAAAAAATAAAGAAGAAAACTGACTGGTCAGATGTGTTTGTGTTCTACCTGCAATATTCCAGAGTCGATCCTCAGTCGGGTCGTGAGATTCGCATAGCAAATCAGCCCGGACGAGGTCGAAACAAACGCGCGCGCACAGATACACACACATCCGGTACAAAACACCCACGACCCAACCTTCCGAAGCAGTGAACCAATACTGTCGGAAGTTATGTAAATCTAATAATATCGTGTAGCATTTGAACAGCGCAAGGTTCGTTTATTGTTCTCCAATATCGATCTGCCAGACACTAGGTGTTGACCGGGCTATTTCACCAAATCAATCGGATCAGGGTGCCTACAAGGGAGCAAGAACCCATACCGTGCTAGCCGCTTTGAGTGTTTATTATGACCAGTAAACAGCTATCGTGCACAGTAGAATGCCATGATTAGGTAACAAAAAGAATATCA